TTGAGACCGGATCGGTCTTGGATGGGAATGGGTCGGGTGACGGAGGAGTTGATCTGGACCGTTAATCAGCTGAGATCAACGGCCCAGATTGAGCGTTACTAAACGACGTCGTTTGGTTTATCTCTGAGACGGACTGGATTAGGGCGGGTATTGGACTGATTTTTGGTATGGGCCTGGTCCGAATTTTCCATCTTTCTTATTTGTTTCTTTTTCTTCTTATTTCCTATCTAAAATTTAGATTAAATTACCAACCAAAATTAAAAAATACTAATTATCTTCTAATAACAATTATCATGCACAATCAAATACAAACCAAAATAAAATCACACAATTGGAGATTAAATTAAAAATGCAAAGTACATATTTTTTGTGATTTTCACTTCTTATAAATTCAAATATTGTTTAATTAATTCCTACTTGTAAAGTTAAATCCTAAATGCACATATATTTATTTATTTATTTGTATTTTTTTTAATTAAAGTAAAAATAATTATGCACAAACAAATATAAATAAATCAGGAGTAGTTCTCGCAGGACAAAAATCACGTGCTCACATACCCAATAATGCGATTATTGATCGTAAGCACATACCTAATGATGCAATGTTTTCAAAGCATGACAACCTACGGGTACAATTGTAATGGTGATATTTATTGAATATATAATATGTTAGATGGTTCGATACTTGCTATATATATATATATTACAATTGTAATGGTGATATTTATTGAATATATAATATGTTAGATGGTTCGATACTTGCTATATATATATATATTACAATTGTAATGGTGATATTTATTGAATATATAATATGTTAGATGGTTCGATACTTGCTATATATATATATATTACAATTGTAATGGTGATATTTATTGAATATATAATATGTTAGATGGTTCGATACTTGCTATATATATTGTTCGTATTTCGTTCGGTTATTATTGTATAATAACTTGAGGTATGTGCTAGAGTTCTAAATTTTGAACCCATAAAGTTAAATTCCTGAATCCGGCTCTGATTAAATGGCGCACGAGAATACACTGGAGCGAGGTGGAGCCTGGAAGTGCATGTTTATTTATTTTTATTAATGGACGAGGCAGTACTATATGTATACATCATACATATATCTGATCTATGCAAGGAAGAAGAAACTCCTAAGAAACAAGAGCCGGAAGCATGCATGCACTTGTACAGGATCCAAACTACTAGCAGCTAGGCCAAAGCGATCACTATTAGCTAGTTTAAGCAGCACACGTGACACAGTTGCAGCCAGGACCGCACTTGCAGTGAACCTTGCCAGCAGCGGCAGTCATGCCCTCACTCTTGGAACATGTGCACGGATTGCACCCACAGTGTTCTCCACAGGAGCACCTCTTGTGCTCCATGCTCGCATCACCCCCTACTGTCCCTGACGCACACCTGCATATGCATATAATCAGATGATTACATTCTCATATATCAGTCAGTGAGAGAATATATATTAGTGATCGATCGAGTAGTATAAAATATACCTGCAAGCAATGCCACCAGGGCAGGGAGAAGGACAGCCGCACCTTTCATCGCAAATAGCAGCACTTCCTCTTAGGTCAGCCATATCTCTAGCTTGATGTACCTGCAGGCGGAGGCGGATACTACTTAATTAGTATTAAGGGTATATGGCTGCTATATATGGTAAAAAAACTCAGATATTCCGGGTGAAGTGTAAACTGCAACAAGAAAAATAAGGAGCGCGAGAGGATAGCTCTGACCTAGACAAATATGTTTATCTTGAATGAGATAGACGATATTTGGTGAGCAGATAGAGAGGAATGAAGACGGCTTTGGCCTTAAATTTGGTACTACAAGGGAACCAGATCCAGGTGGCTGCAATGTGCAGGATTATCGGACACTATATTGCTTCGCGATTGACGCCTGGCTGTTACGTGTCAAGCCTCGCGCTTCTAACTCCTCTAATTTTTCTCTTGCCATGCATGTACCTAGTCTTCTTGAACTCCCCCCCCCCGGGCCCCTCCCGGCTCTTCAAAATTACTGCGCCCGGTTTTAATTTAGATGATATAGTTTAATTTGACAGAAGCTTTAAGGAAAAAACAAGATTTTTTGAAATATATGATCCTAAAAGTTTAAGGGACAAAAATTTTGTGAGTTCAGATATTTGTGTGACTATAAATTTTTTTATTAATAATAAAGTGAATAAAATAAAAAATATAAATTAAATTATTTTCAAATATAAAAATATATCATTCTTTTTGGAACGAACTTATAAAAAATATATAATTTAAATTAAAACGAAGGGGTACTATTTCCAGCATGCGTATGTTAAATTCATGTTAACTTTTCTAATTTAATGAAACAATGCACTCCCTCCGCTCGCTTTTATTTGGCATGTATATAAAAAATAAATTTTTATTTTTACTTGTCCCCTTACGCATATCAAGAGATGACAAAAAAAAAACCTGTTATACCCATAGTATTTATTACTCATTTGAAATTATTTTCTCAAATCCAATAAAATATGCATCAATTAATATGAATATCATGATAAATTATGCACTTCATTTATTATTTTTTAAGGGGCATAAAAAGTCAAAAATCAAAAACTTCAGCTTATATAGTGTTGAAGTTTTTACAAATGAACTAAATAACTTCAGCATCTTCTGCTGAAGTTTTTGAAAAAGTTTTATGACAAAATTAATGAATCCAGAACAAAAAAAACTTCAGCATTAAAATGAACTAAATAACTTCAGCATCTTCTGCTGAAGTTTTTGAAAAAGCTTATCCAGGACAAAAAAAACTTCAGCTTATTTAGTGCTGAAGTTTTTATAAATGAACTAAATAACTTCAGCATCTTCTGCTGAAGTTTTTGAAAAGGCTTAATGACAAAACTAATGAATTCAGGACAAAAAAACTTCAGCTTATTTAGTGCAATTACAAACAAAAACTTCAGCAAATAGAGAACAAAACTTCAGCTACTATGCTTAAGTTCAGCAATTACAAACAAAAATTTCAGCAAATAAAGAACAAAACTTCAACTATTATACTTAAGTTCAGCAATTACAAACAAAAACTTCAGCACACTTGCTACTTCAGGCCCGTCTGCTAGAATGCTGAAATTTTGCGTGATTGTCTTTGCTACTTCAGCCCCGTATGCTGAAGTTACACGAAATAGTGGGTACGCTTGCAATATTTTTTGCAAAGCGAACACAAGTTAAAACGTGACCCAAAAATTGAGTATAGATGCAAATGCCCCATTATTACTTGCGTCTAAAATCAGAGGCACATTAAAATTTTATTTGGGGATCTTTTTCAGCTTGTAAATAAATAGTTTTAAACTCTCTTCTCTGGTAAAGGCTATTGATTAGATCACTTTGATATTCTTAGGTTGTGTTCGTCAATTTGACAACACTAAGGGTGTGTTTGGCATAACAGAAAACATTTTCCTTGGAAAATGCTTTCCAAGAAAATATTTTCTTGGAAAACAAGTAGTAATCTTATTCATTTTTTGGTGTTTGGTATGCAAATTAAAAAAAATGACTTCTCAAGAGTATCCATAAATAATTTAAGATATAATAAACGCAAAGCCATAAACTTTCAAACCAACCTCCGAACCCACAAATTTCATAAACTTTCGAACCGCTAAACTTTCAAAACTGCGGAATTTTGAACCCGTAAACTTTATAATTTCTAAACCCGTAAATTTCCAAACACATAAACCTCCGAACTCATAATTTTAGAACTAGTAAAATTTTAAACCTTTAAACCGATAAATAAAAAACTTAAAACTGAAAAATATATTTAAAAAATATTTTTTTCCCGG